ATTTGCATAGAGAGCTACATTTTGTAAAAGGGGTAAATAAAGGTGGGATGGGGGAGGAGGAAAGGATTATTTTGTTATTGTTCTTCTTCTGTCAAAATGAATATTTGACTTTTGTCAGAAAAATGCTCATTTAACCTTTTCGTTTGGTGGTTAGTTGATTTAACCGAATGTTTGTTTGTGCGGGTAAATAAAATCTAACCTCGTTGATTTGTTTAGATTAAATTAATTATGAAACTGATGGGTATTGAATGATATAAAAATATATTTTTATTAAGAATATTTGTACAAGGCTAAAAAATCCTCTAGATTAAAAAAAATCCTCAAGACATAAAGAAGCCGTGGATTTTTTTTTTTTAATTTTTTTTCAGAGACCTAAACAAGGCGTGGATTAAAAAATAATTTTCAAGGACCTACGCAAGGCGTAGATTAAAAAAAGATTTTAATCAATTATTCCAATTTCATTTTTCTTCAATAAATTGCAGGTCAATAGGCTTCTCCTTCATCCTCCGACATATTGAAATTTATTAATTTCCTTAAAAACCCCGCAGAATACCTTCCAATTCCTTTTCCCCTTTGGATTTATATCCAATTAAACAAATGCTTTGTATATCTGTATCTATACTCGGTTCATATAAATGACCCTCAATTAAATTCATAAATAATGGTCATCGATTAATTGACTACTATAGGCGAACAATTTTCGAACAAAGCGTAAGGACATAACAAAGAAGTCGGCATAGTTTCTTTAATTTACTAAAAATACTGACCATCCATCCACTGGACCCCCTCCTCCCACTTCTTTACCATTCTATGACCAGGCTAAGAAAACAAACTGTCGCCAGAAAAAATTCTACGACAAACTCTCAAACTTATTTATCAATTGACCAGAAACTTAAACGGGACATGCGGAGGATATACACCCCTTCTCCTTTGATTCCTACATCAATATTATTTTCCTTTGCCACACACACACACACACAAACACAGATTTGTCTTTTTCTCCCCTTTCAATTGTTTATAGTTGTGTTACACTATCGCTCTAATCGATGGACATAAATCAGGGCATAGTGAAACATAATATTTGGCCTAATATGATGGGGGTCTATGGGGTCATAAGGCAATAGGCCAAACAAACAGACAGTGGTCGGGAGGAGTATTTAAAAGAAAAATCGTTACTTTATGGTCCATGAGTAAAAATTCGGTAAACAATGAACACTCATTTCATTAAAAACCCGAAGCCTAAGGACATTAATAAACCTGGAGAATAAAAATTATCTTTAAAAATTCATGCCTATGGACCTCAATTGACCTGGAGAATAAAAATTCATTTACAAAATCTACGCTTATGGACCTCAATAGACCTGGAGAATAAATGTTGTTTTAAGAAATCCACCTCTAGGGACCTCAATGGACCTGGAGAATAAACATTTCCGCAAATAATCCACAGCTATGGACTTCAACAGACCTAGAGAATAAAAATTCCGCAAATAATCCACAGCTATGGACTTCAACAGAGATCATTTGACCTTGAGAATAAAAATTATTTGAATAAATCCACGCCTATGGACCTCAATAGACCTGGAGAATAAAAATTCTTTAAAAAAAAACACAACTATGGACCTTAATAGACCTGGAGAATAAAAATTCTTTTAAAAACTCTACGCCTTCGGACTTCAATAGACTTGAGAATAAAAAATTATTTAAAAAAATCCACGCCTATAGAAATCTATTGGCCTGGAGAATAAAAATTATTTAAAAAATCCACGCCAATTGAAATCTATAGGCCTAGAGAATAAAAATTATTTTAAAGAATCCACGCCTAAGGACCTCTATAGGCCTGAAGAATAAAAATTCTTTAAAAAATCCACGCCTTGGGACCTCAATGAACCTGAAGAATAAAAATTATTTTAAAGAATCCACGCCTAAGGACCTCTATAGGCCTGAAGAATAAACATTCTTAAACATTCAGAATAAAAATTCTTCAAAAAGTCCACGCTCATAGACCTGTATAGATCTGGAGAATAAAAATTCTGTAAACAATCTACTCCTATGGACCTTAATAGACCTGTAGAATAAAAATTCTGTAAAAAATCCACGCCTATAACCCTCAATAGACCTGGCGAATAAAAATTCTTTACAAAAGTCCACGCCTATGGACCTCAATGGACCTACAGAATAAAAATTCAGTAAAAAATCCACGCCTAGGAACCTCAATGGACCTGGAGAATAAAAATTCAGTAAAAAAATCCACGCCTAGGAACCTCAATGGACCTGGAGAATAAAAATTGAGTAAGAAATCCACGCCTATGGACCTCAATGGACCTGGAGAAAAAAAATTATTTACAAAAGTCCACGCCTATGGACCTCAATAGACCTGGAGAATAAAAATTCTTTAAAAACCCCACGGCTATGGACCTTGAGAATAAAATTTCTTAAAATGATATACTTACATCCCTGAGATCAATTTCAAACCTCCTCAAATTCTCCTGCGTACAATTAATCCTTGAGACAAATGCCTTTTCCACAATATCTGCTTGGGTTCTGAGATCACGTGCCGCATTCAGTAGGGTGACTTTTAAGGTTTGCCGTAATTTTATCGATTTTTGGTGACCTTTTTCATATCTCCCCAGGGTCTCCTTACAGAAGTGTTCCCAATATTGTTCGGAAGCTTGGCTATAAGAAATAAAAATAGATGATTCAAGTTTTACCTTTGGGTACTGACTCCCCAAAACTCACTCAGGCGGTTGAATCATAGCTCCCGATCGACACCTTATTGTTGGCGATTTATTATTTAAATGGCCATTGACCGAATCAATTAAATAGGCCTCCTTCTTGTCGCTCCAATCATATTCCAAACGCTGGCGGGCGGTACGATTTTCCAACTGCTGCTGTTCAAAATCCTCCAAAGTCCTTCGAAGAAGTCGCCGAAGATCGGCAATTAATGCCAACTCCTTTACCAAATTCTCCTCCAGGGCATTACGAACCAATTCCGTATCCGGACGACCACAGATACATTCCTTGGCAATGGAATTGGGCAGACCCACTGTTACGAAAGTTTTCCTTTGGCATACTCGTCTCTCTTCCAAGGTGCTGATTTCATCGGTCATGGCCTTTATGGCCGCACCCAATGTGGTCTTCCATTTGTCAATCAGGTGGGCTCCTCGTTGGTGTACAATATCAGGGTCCTCACCCCAAAGAGGTTATGCGATCAGCAAGGTTTTGCAGCTGAATTGATTTCTGAGGGAGGCCAATAAATTCTCAGTAAAATGTATAAAAACCTGTTCGGAATTACTTACCTTAGGATCCTATCAAAAATTTGATTGCTATTTTTACAGTTTCCTAATTTTTGGCCCGCCATTCATTCGAGCTGAAGCGTGTAATTGAGTAACGATACACTACTGGTCGGATTTCTGTCAAACCTGCCATAGGGCTCCAATCAACTTTAGCCGTGGCCCATGGCCCAATTGGTCCCATAGTCTACAGATTGTCTTTTATAGGCATGGCACCCTCGGCTTGAGGCTGATAACAGGGTGGATTGTTAAATTCCTTTACCATGGGGGTCTATTGACTTCTGAAATATAAAGAGAGTATTTTTATAGAATTTTTTCTCAAGGCCCAATTGAATTAAAGATTTTGTTTCTCATGGACTATCAATGCCAATTGGTAAGGTAAAATCCAAGCCTTTTGACCCTCAGTCGATGAAAAAAATTCATTTAAAAATACGACCTCTTTCGGTCCACTGTCCTTTATTTTCATTAAGTAACATGTATGTGTAAATATGTGTGAGTGTGTGTGCGTCTCTTTAATAAATAAATTATTGGCAATCGGAATTCACATCCGAGGGGTTCGACTGCTGCATTCGGACTGTTGTAAATCAAGGTGTGAATAAGTCAAATGGCTACAAGTGTCCGCCATAGAATAACCAGTAACTCTATGGTCATCATCACATGGAGTCAGCTCGGGTGATGAGTTTCGAGGGGGACAGGGTAGTGTTTTGATATATTAGTACCATTTATCAAAGTTATCGCTGTGGCAATTGCAATAATCACTGGACCAAAGGCAACACTACCAAAGACTGTAGACACCATGTCTTTCACATTCGGCAAAATGAGCTGTTAAGCAGGTCGGCATCAATGATGACTTCATTAAAACTTTTAGAAGAATTTTTATTCTCAAGGGTTGTTAAGATCCATAGGCGTGGATTTTTTAGAAGAATTTTTATTCTCCAGGCCGATTAAGGTCCATAGGCGTGATTTTTTTTAAAAAAATGTTTATTCTCCAGGCTGATTAAGGTCCATAGGCATGGATTTTTTAAAGAATTTCTATACTCCAGGCCGTATAAGGTCCACAGTCTTGGATTTTTATGCAGAATTTTTATTCTCCAGTCCGATTAAGGTCCATAATCTTGGATTTTAATGCAGAATTTTTATTCTCCAGGCCGATTAAGGTCCATAGTCTTGGATTTTTATGCAGAATTTTTATTCTCCAGGCCGATTAAGGTCCATAGTCTTGGATTTTTATGCAGAATTTTTATTCTCCAGGCCGATTAAGGTCCATGGGCGTGGATTTTTTCAGAGAATTTTTATTCTCAAGGTCTATTAAGGCCTATAGACGTCGATTTATTAAAGAATTTTTAACCTTCTGGTCTATTAAGGTCCATAGGCGTGGATTTTTTTAAAGAATTTTTATTCTGCAGGTCTTTTAAGGTCCATGGGAGTGGAGTTTTTAAAAGAATTTTTATTCTTCAGGTCTATTAAGGTTCAAGGTGGAGATTTTTATATGGAATTTTTATTCTCAAGGTCTATTCAGGTTCATAGGCGTGGCTTTTTTAGAGAATTCTTATTCTCCAGGTCTATTAATGTCCATAGGCGTGGATTTTGTAAAGAAAAAAGATCATAAATCCAAAATTGCCTTGTGTAAACAGTGGCATATCCTTTTCAATCAGCAGCTAGACAAAAAGAAATTTTCAAAATCGAACTCTTAAAAATAAAACAATTAAAATGGGTAAGGGCTTTTTATGGTCCCTTCAACTTCGCTAAACATCTCACTCCCAAACCTCTCCCATCCACAGATTCCGCATCCGATGCCAATGTCGACAGCTCTCAAAATTCCCAATCCGATCCGGAAACTATGCCCCTGCTGCCCTGTCAAAAGAAATACAAATTACGTCCCGAGGATGAAATTAGCCTCGACAGCATTTTCTCCTCTCTAATAACCAAAGTTCAACCCTCCTCCGAAGAATTTCGTAGTCTCGAATGGAATCTGAGTGCCAAAGATTTTCACAATGAAAAACAATCGATGTTGTTCGAAGAGAAATTATATATTTCCCAATTGCAGGATGGTGATTGTAAGCTCAACGAAGAGGTTCATATTTTTATGGAACGTGAGCTGCAGGAAGTGGGAGAACTTCGCATTCGGGTTGAAGAAAGTTATGATGGTTATGTGATCTATGCGAAAAGTAATATGGTCAAAGATAAGGGGAAATTCTCCTCAGGCCATTGGACCCGAGGGAAGTATGGAGAGAAATTTCAGCTGATTTGTGAAAAACGAACGGAATACGATTATGTGGATAATTCAAGGATTGTAAGTGCAGCGCGGATTTTTTCGGAAGAATTTTTTATTCTCAAGGCTCATAGAGGTGTATTTTTGGAAGAATTTATACTATCCAGGTGTGCTAAGGCCTATAGGCGTGAATTTTTTTAAAGAATTTTTATTCTCAGGGTCTATTAAGGTCCATAGAAGTTCGGAATTTTTATTTTCCAGGTCAATTAAGGTCCATAGGCGTGGATTTTTTAAAGAATTTTTAGTCTCAAGGTCTATTAAGGTCCATAGAAGTTTGGATTTTTTATTCTCAGGGTCCATAGAAGCTTCATTAAGCTCCATAGGAGTGGATTTTTTAAGAATTTTTAGTCTCAAGGTCTATTAAGGTCCATAGACGTTTGGGTTTTTTTATTCTCAAGGTCTATGAAGGTCCATAGAAGTTCGGAATTTTTATTCTCCAGGTCTATTCAGATCAATAGGCGTGGATTTTTAAAGAATTTTTATTCTCAAGGTCTATTAAGGCAAATAGAAGTTCGGAATTTTTATACTCCAGGTCTTTACAGGTAAAAAGACGTGAATTTTTTAAATAATTTTTATTCTCAAGGTCTATTAAAGTCCATAGAAGTTCAGAATTTTTATTCTCGAGGTCTATTTAGGTCCAAAGGCGGTGATTTTTTGAGGAATTTTTAGTCTCCACCTCTATTAAAGTCCATATAAGTTCCGAATTTTTATTATGAAGGCCTGTGTAGTTCCATAGGTGAGGATTTTTTAAATTTTTAGTGTCAACGTCCATAGAGGTGTATTTTTTTAAGAATTTTTATTCACAGGGTCTATTAAGGTATTGATCGTTATTCTTGCTTTTGTAGGAACGCACCTTAGATGCCCGTATCATTGATAACAATTTGATTGCCAAGCGAGAGACAAAAATCAACAGGGAGATTCAACGTTTTAAGGCTGTCATAAATGTCAAGGATCGGAATGATGTCTTCGTGTTGGATGGTGGCGTTACACTTCTAATGCGCCATCTAATCCTAAATAATTTTCGTGGAGATTTTCAATACTTTACAATGAATTTATTTGGTAAGTTGGACCATAAGCGGGAAATTTCAAATTGAGGTATTGTAGGGTTTCTTTTTATAATTTTCATAGGAAAAATCCTCCGCTGCCAACTGACCATTAATGAGCAACGCAAACGAATCCGCCTATTCCACCGAACTTTCAACAACATCATCCATGTCGTAACCACCCAATATTTCAATGATTATCCTCAAGAAGTTGCGGAGACGTTCTTCACAGCGAATGGTAAAATAGTTCTACACTTTTGGCATGGCTTTCGTTATGTCCTGCACGAGACCAAAGGCTATGTGGAGAAGCGGGAACGTATCGTTCCAAAATTGGAAATAATGTGGCGTAGTCAAAATCAACTATTGGATCAATATCGCCTCCGAACCCAACTCACTTATGACAATGCAATGGCCTATTTCGAGAAACACTCTGAATTGTCGGATTTCCTTATGGACTTCGTTCAGAATGTCATTCAATATAAACCGGACAATATATTGGAATTTGCGGTGAGGTTTTTTCAAAAGTTTCGCAAGCCAACAGAGGTTGCCTAGGAACCGCCAACACCAATAAATTTTTGAAGACAAGAAATTTTGGGTTCTGAGCCCTTGTTTAACAAACCTAACAACAGTTACACCTTGGCAACCCTTGAATTTATACCATTGTTGTTTGTGTAGTCACAATAAAATTTTCGAAATTTCTTATTTTATTTTGTAAACGGATTTTTTGTTGCATTTTGAAAATCGTTAGTTTTCTTAGAGACTTTCGAACGGGATCCATTGCATCGGAATGGCTTCCTGTGAAAATTGTGGACCAGAGGTAAAAAATATTCAAGAAAATAGAAGGGAATAACCACATTTTGATTTAAGGAACCAATGCCCCCAGCAGATGGACCGGATCTGGAACAAAGGAATATACCAAGGGAAGGACATTTTGCGGTAAGAAAAAAATTAAATAAAATTCCTTAAAAACAAAACCTATGGACCTTGATAGACCTTGAAAATAAAAATTCTGCAATAATCCACGCCTATGAAAAATCCACGCCTTGGACCTTAAAAGACTTGGAGAATAGGAATTCTTTTAAAAAACCAAGTCTATGGACCTTAATCGATCTGGAGAATAAAAATTCTGTAAAAAAATTCACTTCTATGGACCTTAATCGACCTGGAGAATAAAAATTCTGTAAAAAAGCACGTCTATGGACCTTAATAGACCTGGAGAATAAAAATTCTTTTAAGAAATCCACGTCTATGGACCTTAATCAACCTGGAGAATAAAAATTCTGTAAAAAAATTCACTTCTATGGACCTTAATAGACCTGGAGAATAAAAAATCTTTTAAGAAATCCACGCCTATGAACCTTCATAGACCTGGAGAATAAAAATCCTTAATAGACCTGGAGAATAAAAATTCTTTACAAAAATCTACGCCTATGGACCTTAATAGACCTGGAGAATAACAATTATTTTAAAAATCCGCGCCTATGGACCTTCATAGACCTGGCGAATAAAAATCTACGCCTATGGACCTTAATAGACCTGGAGAATAAAAATTATTTTAAAAAATCCACGTCTATGGACCTTAATCGACCTGGAGAATAAAAATTCTGTAAAAAAATTCACGTCTATGGACCTTAATAGACCTGGAGAATAAAAATTCTTTTAAGAAATCCACGTCTATGGACCTTCATAGACCTGGAGAATAAAAATTCTTTTAAGAAATCCACGCCTATGGACCTTCATAGACCTGGAGAATAAAAATTCTTTTAAGAAATCCATCTTATGGACCTTCATAGACCTGGAGAATAAAAATTGTTTATAAAAAATCCACGCCTTTGGACCTTAATAGACCTGGAGAAAAAAATTCTTTACAAAAATCTACACCTATGGACCTTAATAGACCTGGAGAAAAAAATTCTTTACAAAAATCTACGCCTATGGACCTTAATAGACCTGGAGAATAAAAATTCTTTACAAAAATCTACGCCTATGGACCTTAATAGACCTGGAGAATAAAAATTCTTTTAAAAAATCCACGCCTATGGACCTCAATTGACCTGGAGAATAAAAATTCGTTTGAAAAATCCACGCCTTGGACCTTAAAAGACCTGGAGAATAAAAATTCGTTTAAAAAATCCACGCCTTGGACCTTAAAAGACCTGGAGAATAAAAATTCGTTTGAAAAATCCACGCCTTGGACCTTAAAAGACCTGGAGAATAAACATTATTTTGAAAAATCCACGCCTTGGACCTTAAAAGACCTGGAGAGAAAAAATTCTTTTAAAAAATCCACGCCTATGGACTTCAATTGACCTGGAGAATACAAATTCTTTTAAAAAATCCAATCCTATGGGCTTTAATAGACCTTGATAGTAAAAATTCTTCTTATTTTCTTCCATAGATGTCCATTGACCCCCAGGCGGATGAATTTAACAATCCACCCTGTTATCTGCCTCAGGCCGAGGATGCCATGCCCATAAAAGACAACCTCCAGACAATGGGACCCATTGGACCATGGGCAACGGGTAAAGTTGATTGGAGCCCCATGGCAGGTTTGACAGGAACCCGCCCAGTTGTGGATCGTTATTCCATCACACGCTTCAGCCCGAATGAATGGCGGGCCAAAAATCAGGAAACTGTAAAAAATACCAATCAAATTTTTGATAGGACCCTAAGGTAAATAAATTGGAACACACTTTTTAAACAAATTTCTAAAAAATTATTTGGTCTCCCTCAGAAACCAATTTAGCTGCAAAACATCGCTGAATCGCATAACCTCTTTGGTGGAGAAGACCCAAGCGGAAACTACGGATATGGTACGCCAACGGGCCCGCTTGATTGACAAATGGAAGACCACCTTGGGAGCGGCGATAAAGGCCATGGCCGATGAAATAAGCACCTTGGAAGAGGAACGGGTACGCCTAAAGAAATCCTTGGTGATATTGGGTCTACCCGAATCCATTGCCAAAGAATGTATTGATAAGCGGTGTGGTCGTCCCGATACAGAATTGGTTCGTGACGCGCCGGAGGAGGAATTGGTAAAGGAGTTGGCATTAATTGCAGAAATTCGGCGACTTCTTCAAAAGACTTTGGAGGATTTCGAACAGCAGCAGGTGGAAAATCGTACCGCCCGCCAGCGTTTGGAATACGATTGGAGTGACAAGAAGGAAGCCTATGAAATTGATTCGGTCAATGCGCATTTAAATAATAAATCGCCAACGATAATGTTTCGACCGGGTGCTATAAGGCAGCCGCCTGAGTGAGTTATGGGGAGTCCGTTCGCAAAGAGAAAACTTTACATCTTGTTGGTCCTCTGTTTTTATTTCTCCAGGCAAGCTTCCGAACAATATTGGGAACACTTCAGCAAGGAGACCCTGGAGGAATGTGAAAAATGTCGCCAGAAATCGGTGAAATTACGACAAACCTTAAACGCCACACTACTTAATGCGGCAAGGGATCTGAGAACTCAAGCCGATACTGTGGAAAAGGCATTTGTCTCAAGGATTAATTGTACCCAGGAGAATTTGAGGAGGTTTGAAATTGATCTCCGGGATGTAAGTGGATTTTTTAAAGAATTTGTATACGCAAGGTCTATCGAGGTCCATAGGCGTGGATTTTTTACGGAATTTTTATTATAGTCTATTGAGGTCTATAGGGGTGGATTTTTTACAGAATAATTATTCCCAACGTCTATTGAGGTCTATTTTTTCTCCAGGCCTATTGAGGTCCATAGGCGTGGATATACTTAAATAATTTTTATTCTCAAGGTCTATTGAGGTCCATAGGCGTGGATTTTTTACAGAATTTAAATTCTCCAGGTCTATTGAGGTCCATAGGCTGGATTTTTTACAGAATTTTTATTCTCAAGATCTATTGAGGTCCATAGGAGTGGATTTATTTAAAGGGTTTTTATTCACAAGGTCTATTAAGGTCATAGGCGTAGATTAAAAAAAAATATTGTCAAGGTCTATTAAGGTCCATAGGTGTGGATTTTTTAGGGAATTTTTATTTTCCAGGTCTTTGAGGTCCATAGGCGTGGGTATATTTAAAGAGATTTTATTCTATTGGTATCTTAAATATTTTTTATTCTTAAGGTTCATTAGAATGTATTATTTGCGGAATTTTTATTTTCAAGGTCTATTGAGGTTCATAGGCGGATTTATTAAATGAATTTTCATTCTGCAGGTCTATTGAGGTCCATAGGCCTGGATTATTTTACATAATTTTTATTCTACAGGTCTATTGAGGTCCATAGGCGGATTTATTTAAAGAATTTTCATTCTGCAGGTCTATTGAGGTCCATAGGCATGGATATTTTAAATAATTTTTATTCGCAAGGTCTATTGAGCTCCATAGGCATGGATTTATTTAAAGAATTTTTATTCTCCAGGTCTATGCAGTTCCATAGGAGTAGAGTTTTTAAAGAATTTTTTCTCAAGGTCTATTGAGGACCATATGTGCGGATTTAAAAAAAATAGATATTTATTTTTTCACTCTCTTCCAGTGCCTCCAAAAACTGGCCGACACCGAGACCCGTATCGAACACCTACATCGAGCCGTGCGCAGCTTCGATTCCGCCATGAAGGTGGCTCAGACACGTATGGACAATCGCAGTTTCCGTCCGAATGTGGAAAATTGTCGTGATGCGGCACAACAACACCTAATCGACGAGGTAGCCACCATTCAAAGTGGAGTTACAGCAATGCTGCAAGAACTTGACGAAGCGGAACAGGTCAAAACTAAATTAATGCAGACCCGCAGTACCTTGGAAAGGGAAATTATGTTAAAACGTCGTACCTTGTGGATTGATCAGGAACGTTGTATGCTACTTCGATCACATTATCCCTCGGCAAATGCTCTTAGTGGGTATGCTAGTGTTTAGAAGCACTTCGATGGAGGATTTTTTGAGAGATTTTTTTAATAAAAAAATATATCTATGACTACTTTATTTGTTGTTCTTGTTGTTGTTGTTGGATTGTCTTAATAACTAATTTTTTCTGGGAGATCTTTTTGGTTCACATCACATAACCTTGTTTCTCCAGTTCCTGCTGGATTTGTTTGTCATCCTTGATGGCCTCTAGCCAGGCTGTGGAGGAGAAATCGTCAAGGGTGCCACCATATCTGAAAGGAAAATAATAAATAATTAGTTATTAGGAACAAGAAAAAATAAGGCAGAATTAAGGTGAACCTGTTTAAACCCGCAGACCTAACCTCAAAAAATAATTTTAAAAATTGTGATATTTAAAGAAATTTAAATAGAAGTTCACCCTCACCCTACATACCTCTTTGGCAAACAATCGGGATTTATATGTTTATGCAATGAGGCCATATCCGAACCATGAATAAATAAATGTTCCCGCATTTTGGCATCCATAAATGGCTGGAAGATCTTCAGGGCAGCATTGAAGACGAAATTCTGATTGACAATGTGGATGGAGGCAACTCGGGTGAACATAGAAGTCTGCAAGAAGGAAAAAAATATACCTCGCATTAAAAATTTACCACACAAAAAAATCAGATGACCCACTTACCACCATCAGGGCAATCATTTTCGAGGCCACGCCAGGGCTCAAATGTAAAATGTGATTCAGTGAGAAACCCTTTAAATCGAAAATGCCAATACCCCCGACCACTTGGGTAATGGGTTCCATGCCACCCATTTCCAGCAGACACACCGAGGCTCGGAATATATCATCGGTGGAGACCTCACTCGGTTTCCACAGGCCAAAACGATAAATCATAATACGTCTACCACATTGATCTCTATAGGGGGTGACATGGACAATATCTTTACTTGCAATATAGGTGAGGTCCAGCGGGCGGACTTTTTCAAAGAAGTTTTTATTCTGGTCACGGAATTTGTAATAATTGCAGATCTGCAAGAAAAAAATAGGGTTAGTACTTTGGACATGAGAATACCTAGAGTCTCTATTTACCAACTTATAGCTATGCGGTATATTCCAGTAGCGGGCCCTCAAAAATCTCTGCAGATACTCATCATCGGTACGATGTGGCTGACAGCCGTTATGCTCAAGAATATAATTACGAAATTCATCAATTGTTTGTTTACGGGTCTCCTCACATTCACCCTGTTCAATGGCAACCTTTTTGATGTCATCCGGTAGTTCGGGTTCCAGATTCAAGCGGTATTCAAATTCAGGCATGACTACTGAAATGAAGAAAAAGTTAAATTAGGAATTAAAAAAATATTTTTTTAATATTTATAAAAAGTTTTATAGCTATCAAACATTAAACCCGTTTCCTGCACGTGCTGGCTACCCAAACGTGTAATTAATAAATTCGGAATTATTTAAGGTATTTTATAGGTGCCGAATATTTAGCTTATAATTGCAAAGAAAAAAGTTCATTGCCGTTTACGATTTCTGTTCTGCGCAGCCATATCCCAAATCTAGGGTAAATAAAGCCATTGATCGCACATGCCAGTCCGAATACAGCGCATGCGCTAAACAATTATAAGCAAATAATTTAGACAGGTATGGCAGAGCCATCGATTAAAGCGTTACTAAAACCAGTTGTAATAATTGAAAAAATAAAATAGAAAACAAATTTCGAAATATAGATTGAGGGTGATTTTGATTCTAAATTTTGACTGATGTCCAAGGCAAAGGGGGTATGGGAGAGAAGGGGCAATTTAAATAGCCTATATTAATTTCTCTAATTTTGTAAGGAAAAATATTTTAAGTTCATCATTATCACAATCCCGATGTATGTTCGCATGAGGACCCCATCAGGTCCAAAAAAAACTTCTAAGACGACCCAAAATAGGTTCGTCGACAAATTTTTGTTTACTTTTTTTTCTGTCTTCTGATTTTTAACCATGCAATTGCTGTCGGTAGGGCAGTATAGTATGCGGACCCTTCTCTTGATCTATGGCGATTTCGTTTGTAAAAAAATGTTTTTTTTTTTTAATTTTGAAATACTGATAAGAATTTTTATTTTATTTAATTTTTATTGTCCAGTTCCTTATCAATAAATTTCGAATATACAACAAAAAGAGCATTCCGAATATGACATTTGTCGAAATACTACAACAACAACAAACAAATAGGAGACATTGTTGAATATGCAGTTTGATTGTGAATATTTGTTATTGTTGCTGTTGTTATCACTTCGTGGTTACTGCAAGAGCTCGCAGTCAGGGAGGCTGATATTGCAACAACTTAAGTAAGGGCAAATGGGAAATGTTGAGGCAAGGTAAAGGGCAGCATTAAAGGCAGATTTTGTAAAAGATCTTGAGGGGTCTTCTTAGATGAGCTGAAATAAATCTTTGTTACGAACTGAATGAGGGTTTTTATAGACGGGATGGAGGAAGAATTTATCGAGATGTAGGGAGTTTTCATAGACCACCTGAAAGGAGTTTTTATGGACGACCTGATAGGAGTCTTTATAGATGAGATGGAGAAAATCTATGGAGAGGTGTAGGGGAATATTTATGGACAAGCGGAAGGCAGTCTTTTTAAACGAGCTAATCGGAGGGTTTTTTAGAAAACCTGAAATAAATCTTTATAGGCCAACGGAAGGGCTGAAAAGGAGATGGGAATGTGTTCTGAGGCGAATTGAAGGGAATTTTTATAGGCAAGCTGAAGGAAATCTTTATAAACGAGACGAAGACATAGGAAGCTGAAGGGAGTATTTATAGACGAGCTGGGGAAATCTTTATAGAAGATCTTTTGTAGACGACCTGAAAAGACACTATAAAAGTATTCTTTATGAACGAGGCTTCCTTCACGCCTTTATATATGATGGTAAGGGACTCTTTATAGACGAAGTGGAGGGGGGTCTTTATTGGCCAACTGAAGTAAGTCCCAAAGGACGAGCTGAAGTGAATCTTTATAGACTAGCTGAGGTGAGTCTCTATATTTGTATTGGAGGAAGGCTTTATAAAAGTGAACTGAAGGAAGGTTTTATAGGGGAGCTTTTTAGTCGACCTAAAGGGATTCTTTATAGACGAGTTGAAGGGAGACTCTATAGATGACCAGAAGAAACCCTTTATATAAAGAAAGTATGTTTGATCGATCTAAAGGAACTTTTATAGACAAGCTGAAAGAAGGATCTATAGACTATCTGATGAGAGTAGGTTTACAGACGAACTGAAGGACGTTTTTATAGGAGAGTTGAAAGAAGACCTTGCAGACAAGCCTAAAATTTAAAAATAAAAAACTGATAAGAATTATTATTTTATCAATAAATTCAATATTGTCCTGCCCTGGGGTCTTTATTAATGAACTAACATGAGTCTTTATAGACGAGGTAAATGGGTTTTTTTATAGAAGAGCTGAAGGGGGTCTGTAAAAGCTAGCTGAAGTAAATTTTTATAGACAAACTGAGAGGACTCTTGGCAGTCAAGTCGAAAATTTGGAAACAATAATAAGAAGCTATATTTTTATTAAATAGTATTGTTCAGTCCTTATCAATAAATTCGAATATCGTCCTGTTCTGGGGACCCCTAACATCTCTAGGTGGAACTAACTCGCTAAGTAGAATGGCTTCATAAACAATTTGCCCAGGATTTAATGAGTTAGCTCCACTTCCAAATGTTAGAAGTCCTCATGATAGAATAAATATGGCGCCCGACGTAGTGTTTCTTTAACGACATATAGCTTATAACAATGGTAGTCTCGAAAAATGTTCTGCTGAGGAGGTCTTTCAAGGCGTGCTGTAGATAGTCTTTATAGAAGATTTGAAAAACTTATTTATAGCCGGACAGATGGGAGTCTGTTTGTAGGCGTGCTGAGGGGAGTGTTTATAGCATAGCTGATATGAGTCTTTAGCTGAAGGGAGTCTTGGAAATATCAATAGGAATATTTTTTAATTTATTGTCCAGTCCTTATCAACAACTTCGAATATTGTTCTGTTCTGGGAACCCCTAACATTTGAAGGTGGAACTCACTGAATATGTTCTGCTGAGGGGGTCTTTGAAACGAGCTGAAGGGAGTCTCTTTTTAGGCGAGCTAGAGAGATTCTTTATAGAAGATCTGAAGGCCGTCTTTATAGAAGAACTGAGGTGAGTCTCTATTACTATAGCATAGCTGACAAAAGTCTTTATAAAGTACTTCGTAGACGGGCTGAAAGGAGTCTTGGAAATACCGATTGGAATATTTTTTAATTTATTGTCCAATCCTTATCAATAAATTTGAATATTTTCAGTCCTGGGGATCCTAACATTTGGAGGCAGAACTCAGTAATATGCTGGCTTGATAAAAAAAACTTTCCCTAGCGTTAAGACGTTAGTTCCACCTACACAAAAAGTGGTAGTCTCGAAAAATGTTCTGCTGAGTGGGACTTTGTAGACTGGAGGCGATCTTTGTAGGCGAGCTAAGGGCAGTCTTTATTGAGACGAGTTGGAAGAAGTCTTTTGTAGAAGATCGGAAAGGGGTGTTTATATCCGAGCTGAGGGGAATATTTATAGATGGGATGTAGGGAGTCTTTATAGATGAGCTATATGGAGTTTTTATGAACGAGCTGCAGGTAGTCTTTATGGACGAACTAGACGTAGCCTTACTATAAAGTTCTTATAGATGAGCTAGATTGAGTCTCTATAGACTGGTTGGAAGGAGTATTTATGGTCGGGTTAAATGGAGTCTTTATAGACGAGCTAAAAGGAGTCTTTATAGACGTAATAAAGGAAGTTTTATAGATGATCTGAAAGAAGACTTCACAGACCGCCTACAGAGCGAATTCATAATCTTCGGACTTCAAAGAACAGTTAAATGGAGACATTATTTATGAAATAACGTGAGCCGAAAATTTCGAAATATTAATAAGAATTAATATTTTTAGTGTGGCCATCTTTAAATATGGGCGTTATTAAGTTAGTTCCTCCACATCCAATGTTAGGGGTCCCCATGACAGGTCCAAAATGGCGCCCGTTTTGGGCCTTTTTTAAAGACATATCGATTATAACGAAATTTTGTAGAGACATTCTTTAATCAGTGTAGATTCCAGTATATCTCAAAAGTTAGGGGTCCCTTAAATGTGACTTGATGTACAAGCTAATAGGCGACTTCGTAGGGCAACTAATTGAAGGGGCCGAAATTTTCGAAACATTTAATAAGACATATCGATTATAACGATGATCGTTATTGAGTTAGTTCATCCACCTCCAAAAAACAATGAGAGGAGAAAGTGGCCCCCAAAGTGTGGCACCTATACACCTCCAAAAGTTTGGGATCCCATGATAGGTCCAAAATGGCGCCCAACGTGGGACCTTCTTTAACGACCTATCGATTATAACGATGAGTGTTTTTGAGTTACTTCCACCTCAAAGAATAGGTGTCCCCATAATAGGACAAAAATGGCGCCCAACATGTAATCTTCTGTAGCGACATATCAGTTATAACGATGATATCTAAGATTTCGGAAAATAAGTTTTTCATTTGATCTGGTATTTATTTGATTTGTTTAGAGCGATTTATTTTGAGGTTTCCTTGACCTTCGTTAATAACGATTTTATGTATATATATTTGTAGTGGTCCATATATATAGCAGATTTATATATGTATATACTCGTAGTTGTATAAAATGGAGATCATATCACTGATTATTTATAGCTTGACAAACTTGTATGGGCATTTAACATAATCAATACCTCTGATGGACCTTCTCAAAGACCACCCCAATAAGTCTACAAGGCCTTTGGTATAATTCAAACCCCCCAAATTTTCGAAACCTGTAGACTTTTGAGAAATTAACATAAATCATAGGAATAATTTGTTTCGCCTTCAATACAAATTAACAGCCATCACACAAATCCACATTGATCTCAAGATTTTCAAAATAATTATTAATGACAGCTGTTGTTCAACTGTCAAAATTATCTAGATAATTTGCAATTAAGAAATGGCTAATACTCTTATACGCGAACATATAATTACATACATACATTGTAATGTGTTTAATTATACCGGCTTTGTACTACAAAATTAATTCCAACACACTCTCACACACACAAATCTCATAGAGAAACAATTATTCAATACACCTGTTCCATCTTCAGCTACAGCACAGTCGATTAGTGTAACCTGAATGAAATAAAAAAGTTTTTCGATCGATGTAATGACTGTCACAAAAATTTGTTTTATATTTTGAGGTGCAAGGAGATTTTTTATATTTGGATCGTAAATTTGTTGTATTTTGAAAAAGG